CACCAGTTCACGTCAAAGTTATTTGTTCAGCGATCTGTGTATCCCGCCTTTTCATTTTGGTGATCCGTAACCCCACACCATGTTCAGCGATCATTATTAGAATAAGTTGTGTGACTTATTAGTTTTGTGATTAATTAATGTATAAAATCTATGCCGAAAATGAATGAACTGGTGTGATGAGTGACTCATGGTTATGGATCGAATTTCCTTCTTTTTTTTTGGCTCAAATCATATCATTTCTGCCTTGAAATTTGCACAGATGAGCAAGGTTTCCTATATTCAAGACAGTTGATATCTCCAAAGTTTCAAATTTTCATGGATATTGGCTAGATTCGGTATCCGCCACATGATCCTTATCTATCACTATACTTATTTTATATTGCTCAAACTGCACATGTATATAAAGAAATATACAAGAATTCCTTTCGGACAAAGATACGACACAAGGTTACATATCGTGGATATAAATATCAATTTTGCTAAACTTACATCTTGGTTGACAGTTTTGTTAACATTCCATGTTGTGGCACACAGTTTTGCCAACACCGGTTCAAATAAATGGCATCGATTTTTATACATCAAACACTGTCAAACTAGTTGTACAAAATGGATATACAACTAGTTTAATTCTATAAATATATATTAGTCTTTCTAAACACATGCAAAAGTACACATACAAACCTGCTCCCTAATATGTTTCCAACTATTTTAACTATTGAATTCAAGAGTACACTTATATGCACACCAACATGCATCCCCGATCCCCCTTTTCCTGCAAAATTTATAATTCTCAAATAAATTCACTTCTTAAGGTGAGGGAATCAAGTATAGAGATCGGACTTGGGATGCTTTGCTTTGACATGTTCCTTGCATTTGACCTCAGTCTTAGCGCACATGAATGTCTGCATACACACCTTGCACTGCACCCACAAAAGGGGTACTTTTCAGTTTGCCCAAGTCATAGATACCATTTTCCACTTTGCCCAAATTTTTTTACCATTCACCACAATAGTCTTCCAAAGCTGAAAAGACTAAATTACCCTTAAAATATTATATAAATTA